CAGTAGAGTTTAAAGGCTTTGTGTTTTGCTTGAGGGTCGGAGGATTTGGCTGCAGGAATACATCGAACTGTGGGACATTGAGTGAACCACGCATGGGCCTATCTTAAACGGCCAGAACCTCCTTGATCGTAGGTTCTTATCATGAACCTTCACATCGAATTTACAAGGGCCCTACAGCACAGTAGATTTTGGTAGTTCAACGTAGTCCCCAAACCTTCAACCTTCAAGCTAAGCGCTAAGTCCTAAACCTGAAACCCTAAGCCCTACCTTAACCCCACATAACCTACCTTGATTAAGGACTTGTATAAAGAAATCATAACTAGGATGCCCAGTAGTACCCCTATTCCTTGTTTTGTAGTCCTAGGTCCCTAGGTTCCTTAAACAGTTACCCAATACCAAAAAGGGAGCCTTTTTATTCCTAGGTTACTGGGCATCCTAGATAATAGGAAGCCTTAAAAAGGAAGGTTTTATACTTGGAGGGGCAGGGGACTTAGTAAGTAGGTTCTAATTAGGGTTGTAATTGGGGTAACTCCATTTAGGGTACTTATAACTCTACTTATAACCTACTCACTAAGTCCCCTGCCCCTCCAAGTAGGTTCCAGGTACACCTTAAGCCCTAAACCCTCATGGTGGAAGCTGGCGACCTTGCTCGGCCTCAGTTCCCCTGTATGGAGGCCTGAAATATAATTTGATATATATATATATATATATATATATATATATATATTGATTGCCTATACTATTCTGGGGTTCCCTGTTATGATCATAGTATAATGGACCCCAAAATCCGATTCTAATGATTAAGGTTCTATATTATCTGTTTGGCCGGGGTTTGGGCACTCATCGGCGATGGCCTACTTGTCGGCCTTCCACTTGCAAGGTTTTGCGCGAACTCGCTGGCGACGGCATAGACCAAGCCGAAGTAGCGCAGTAATGCCAGGCGATCCAATGGAAGAGATGAGCGACGGCGAGTACTCCAAACGAGAAGCCTTGTCCGACCTTCTGTGTGACGTGAATAGCGCTGCCGTCGAGGTGGATGCTGTGGGTGCATATCACCACAGTTCCGCCGCTTTGGCCAGCCTGGAGCGTGAGAATCCGGATACGATGAGCGACTGCCCCCCTCGTGTGGGCTCGACAGACTCCGGCCAGACTTGTCCTAACGTGGTATATTGGAGAGCAGTTTACGAGACATCGAAAGCGATGCCGCAGTCGGCACAACGGTTTACGTTGAAGCCCCTGCAACGATTCTTGATGGTCAGGTGGTGAAGTCTTTGAGGCTGTGTGGTTTTTGTTTCGCAGTTGAGGGCTCGCGAAAGGGTGTGCATGTCAACTTAACAAAACCTATAAACCCTAAGCCCTAACCCCTAAGCCCAGACCCACCTAAGTTGCCTGACAGGCGTTGGGCATGTTTCGGGAGATGCAGCACCAGGTGCCTTCAGATAAACCCTACACCCCAAAACCCCTAAACCCTAAACCCTAAACCCCTTATAAACCCTAAACCTATGGCACAAAAAAACTATAAGTCTCTGTGGTATCTTGCTTCTGGGCCTCCTGGCTTCACGTGGTGTCTTCGCCACTCCCTAGCTTTATCAGGGTTCTATAAGGGTTGCTAGAAGGGTTCCTTGAAGGGTTGCTATGAGGGTTCTATAAGGTTTGCTATAAGGGTTCCTTGAAGGGTTGCTAGAAGGGTTCCTTGAAGGGTTGCTATAAGGGTTCTATAAGGGCTTTGTCCATGTACCTCTAGTTAGTATGCATTAGTGTACGCGTAGGCCTTAAAGGGGCTTATCCATAGGTACTTCGAAGCCTAAGTATATACTGTATAGGTGGGCGGAGCCTTAGGGAATGTCGTGTGCTGTTGATCCCAACTTGATATGCTATTGGTGTCGGAATCTAGAAAGAAACTCAGCATGAGACATGTGGGTGTGTCGGTGTAACAGTATAGAGAGTGTTGCACGCTGCGCAAAGCTGATGGATGCCTGATATCGGGCTCCATGCTAGCAGTGCCCAGCAACCTGCTGAGAAATCGTCATGCCTGTTTAGGGATGTCCGTTATGCTGTTTCGAGCGTTCAGCGAACCTCCTGCTGCGTGCTGTGCAATGGCCTTGGTAGCAAGTGCAAAATCCTGCGGAATTGAAGTAATATAGGGGCCTTCAGAATTACCTATACAATTGGGGCTGCTATTCTAACTATGGCATAATGGGCCCCAAAATCCTATTCTAATTGTTAAAGCCCCATATATTGGGACATCTTGCTTGTTCACCTCGTTAGGATACAACACGTCAGTACACGTGCCTTCGTCTTACCCGTGTTGAGTTGCAGCTCAAAAACCATTGGGTTTCAAGGTTTAGGGGGTCGGGTTTAGGGTTCAGAGTTTAGGGTTTAGGGTTTAGGTTTAGGGTTTAGGGGTTAGGGTTTAGGGTTTTAGGGGTTCAGAGTTTAGGGGTTTGGGTTTCGGGGTTCAGGGTTTATGGGGTTGAGGGTTTAATTAGGTTTGGGGCTTAGGGGTTTAGGGGGCTATACGCTGTCGTCCACAGGGAGGACACAAGCTGCACTATCTATCTATCCTGGCAACGTAAGCCAGAACCCGAAAACCGGAACACCTACAGGTTGGCAAGTCCCACTTGGAGGGGCAAGGGACTTAGTAAGTAGCTTTTAAGTAGAGTTGTAAGTACCCTAAATGTGGTTGCCCCAATCATAACCCTACTTATAACCTACTTACTGAGTCCCCCCCCCGCCTCCAAGCATGCGCTAACCGTATACCTGAGGCAGAGGGTTCAAGCTGTAGCACGTGCTTCACTCCTTTGAAGCCTTCAAAGTTTCTCTTAAGGCGACAGATCGTACAGAATCCTTCATAACAGAACCCTTGTAGAAATTCATGAAGCCTTAGACGACCTGGTAAAGCTCATTGATTAAACCCTGGATAGCAGAATCCTTATCAGTTTGTATCAAATCTTATCTACAGCCCCATAGCAGCCCCTTAAACCCTAAACCCTAACCCTTATAACCACTAGCCGAAGGAGCTGGTCCCCAACACCATCGTTTACAATGCAGCAATTGATGCTTGTCGGCGAGGCGGGAAGTTTCGTGAAGTTTAAACAGTATAATCAAAGGCAAAGAGCCGCGCAGCGAACTTCCAAATCCCCAAGCGCCTAATGTAAGCCTAGGTTTAAAAAGATTTCGAAAGCTGACAGTCCCTAAGCTCGAAAGTTTGAATCCCCAAATAAAGTTTAAAGCTTAAACCACTAACCTTGAAACTTGCAAACTCTAAGTCCCAACACCCCAAAACCCTGAAGACCTGGAGCTATCTAGCCCTAGGGCACACAAGCCCGAAAATCCTGAAGCCCCAGCTTCTAGAGTACCCTGCTTAGTAGCTGAGTGGATACACTTTACACTTTTTGGGAGAATGTTACCCGCTATAAAACTGAAAGTGTATACTTTTTTGGGGGGGCTTATGAACTCATCAGCAACTAAGCCTGAAAGAGGAACTCCGCTAACCCTACACTAACTCAAAACGTAGTCTTCTGCTTGCAGGGTTTGGTGCTGGAGTACTTGTCGAATGGGACTGGAAAGCTTTAACCTTTTGGAGATCAGCAATATAGAAGCCTAAATGGCTACCAGTATGATTCCTAGGGTTCCTTATTATAGTCATGGTATCGTATGCCCCAAAACCCAATTCAAATTATTCAGGCCCCTATAGTATCTTCTTAGTTAGACAGCCCTCATCCCCGCACCTGAAAATGCAAGTAGGTTCCTTTAACGGATTACTCTAACGTTTTTTTAAGGGTTCCTACAAGGGTTCTACAAAGGTTTGGGGTTAAGCGCTCTGGGAGTTTCCGAAAAGTACGGGTACCCTGATTTGGGGTCCTTAAAATCAGGATCCGACTAAATAGGGTACTATATTGGGGTCCCCTGGTTTCGGAAGCTCCCATCTGGTATTTTGGTTTAGGTTTAGCGGTTGGGGTTTAGGGGACGCTTCTAGAACCGTTATATTGGCCCCTCAAAGGAACCCTTAAAGGACAGGAGCCGTAGGCCCCAAGAAGGATGCATCACAGCCAAAAAAAGCAACGACGGAGCATACGAGGGCTCTCTCGTCCTCTTACTTGGAGGGTCGGGGGACTTAGGAACTGGTTATTTTAAGGACTTATAAGTACCATAACCCCGATTAGGGTCCCTTTTAGGCTACGTATATGTCTACTTACTACCTACTTACCAAGTCCCCCGACCCTCCAAGTAAGGGTACCCTTAAAGGAACCCTTCTATGATAAACCCTATACTACCCTTTGAGGGGACGCTATTATACAGCCCTATACTACTCTTTAAGGTTCTCTTAACCCAGGCCTTCCAAAATCCTTTAGTTTCAGGAATATATCTTAAATTGTAGTAGGACCCCTAATATGATTTTGAGGCAAATTCCTTAGTGAAGGGCTCTCTCATTCTCTTAAGAGTGCCCTTGTCCTGGTAAGTCGAAGCTGGGACCTCGACTCGACATCCGCCTCTGCTGGTTTTCCGTGAGGGAAATCGAAGGAATGGGCCATCTCACACTTTCAGGGTTTAGGGTTTAGGGGTTTAGAGTTTAGGGTTGTATATACTGTTGGGTTTAGGGTTTAGGGCTAAATTACAACTATATAGTCTGTTTGTAGGTATGTGGGGTCTTCATTTCCATTCTTGACAAGGCGTTTTGGGTATCGGTTGGTCGTAAGGGGGTGTTTTCGGGTTTAGGGTTCAGAACTTGTTGATTCCTGAGAGCCCTATGCTCCTTTGTTAGAATTTACCTGCAGGTACTTAGAAGATTGACAAGATTGAAAGTAAACCCCCTAAAGTTGGAAACCGGAATAGGACAACTAGTGCTTGGATACCCTATGCATGACTCGTAAGGATTGAGGCTATTCGGTTTCCAACTTTTGGGCGTCTACTGTAGCCAAAAGTAGCAACATAGAGAGTGAAAGCCCTTTTCTTGCATCACTGGGGGGTTTGGCGTGTCTTGGAGAAGATTCACAGCCATGGCACAGCATCAGAAGGAAGCACCTCCACTCTTGCTGGATGTTTGGCTGCTTTCCGGCGAGAAGCTGACCTCCGTACATACAGCGGAGTTAACTGATGTGCGCTCGTTGAAGCGGCATTTGCAGACACTCTGCGGGAAGTCCAGATTCTGTCAGCGTCTCCTTCACGAGACAGTGAACGTTGATGATGACACGATGCTGACTTCTCTCAGCACAAACGTACAGCTGGTGTTGCTACCCTTTGAGCGTCTCTCCAACGAACAGAATGCAGCCCTCGTAGATGCTCTTGGCTCTGGCCAAGTGGGAGTTGTAGAAGACATGCTACTACTGCCTGCAGATCCAAATTCCACAGTCAGGCAATTTTCCCCGATCACGATCGCTGCTGGCAATGGCTATGAAGCAATCGTGGGCTTGCTGTTGGAGGCTGGTAGTGCTTTGCACGCGGACGCTGCAACCGCTTCACCCTTACTGGCAGCATGTTGCAAGGGCCGCATGCAGATCGTGTCGCAGCTGTTGGAGGCAGGTGCTGACGTGGACGAAGTCTCCCAGCGTGGAACGCCACTTACCTGGGCAGTAAGCAGTCACGGCCAGGAAGTCGGACAAGACAAGATCGTCGAGATGCTTTTGGAGGCTCGTGCTGACGTGAACAAGGTCGATGGAGATTTGTACACACCCTTGCTTTCAGCAGTGACTTTTGGCAGGAACCTGGTGATTGTGAAGCTTCTCCTAGGCGCCCTCGCAGACACCAATGCTATCTGCCCTCGAAGAAAACAGACGCCACTTTGCATAGCGTCAGAAGATGGAGACGTGGCATTGATGTATGATCTTTTGACAGCCGGTGCTGACAGTGACCGAATCTTAGCAGCAGAGTAATTAACCTTTGACCTTTAACCCTTTTTTTGGGATATTCTATTCGTTTAGCTTTCAGATCCCCCATAGGAGAGTGCACGAGTAAGGAATCAGTGCCAGGCGCACCCCATTGACGACGGCAGTCGATGGCGGCCATGTGGAGGTCGTGCGAGCATTGACTTTAGCTGGTGCCACTGTGGACATGGTCGACGATGAGTGGTACACACCTCTAACCCGAGCACTCTGGGGTGACAATGTGGATATTGTGCACCTGCTGCTGGCTGCACGTGCCGACGTGGACATGGCGTGCCCCTACACCGCCCAAACACCTCTCTGCATGGCCTGCCGCACTGGACGTGTGGAGATGGTACGACTATTGCTCTTGTCTCGTGCAGATAAGGACAAGAGCAGTGTCCGGGGAAGCCCTGTGAAATTGGCAGCCAGAGCGGGCCATGTGGAGATCTTGCGATTGCTTCTCATAGCTGGTGCAGAACCTGAGGGAGATGATTATTGGAAGGTAGTGCGCTTGCTTTCGGCCTGTGGCAGAAGCGCATCTCTCCTAGCAGCCGCCTGTGACTCAAGCGTGTCGCATGGGGCGAGCTGAAGCCGTCACAGGGGTCCACATGCGTGATAAGTTTTGACTGATTACTTAGTTCTCCCCAAGGGTCCATGTATCCAATTAGTAGATACTTTGATCTTCAAGTAGTCCCTATATAAGCACGTTGGGGCCAGCGTATATTCTATTTGGATACATTCACCCTTAGGGATCGCTAAACAGTATACCTTCAATCCCCCCAAACCAAATCTTTAGTATCCAGCCGTTGTGCAATCTGACCCCCCGCTTTCGGCAAGAGATTTCAGGTGACGTTATGGTTCCCAGAGGTTTGAAAACCCTTTGAATGAAGCAATATACCACAGTGTACCTGAAAGTATGGGCTCTAAGCTCTAATGCATTAGTGCGTTTACATGGGGCTTGGGGTCAACAGGGTTTCATGGCATGTGGGGTTTGTTGGATTCTCTGGGCTTGTATGCAAGTCTCACAAAGACACCGCCAAGAAAAAAATCAAGCACTGGGTCATACTACAAAAGCAACACGTTATCAGTCTTGTGTTGCGACCAGCGGGCTTGAAGCAATGGTATTTACCAATTATTAGTAGAAATTGTTGATTGTTGTATTTGTCATATTGATGTGTTTTACTTGTGGGTTCACAGCATCACGAACCTTAACTCGGACGCTCAACTGTGAAGTCCAAACTTCCAGCAAAAAAGCACGTCAAGCGCCAAAGCTCTGACTTTAATCCAGGCCGCGCGAGGATTCACCACCTACAGCGAGTTTATGCTTGGGGGTTTTAGGATCTGTAGGGTTTAGGGTTTGGGGATGTTTAGTGCGTTTCGACATTGGGGGGTACCCTAAATCCTATGAAACCCCAAACCCCTGAGCCCTAAACCCTAAACACTAAACCCTAAACCCGAACCCTACAGGGATCAAAATCGCCAACATAGCCCAGAAGACTTATGTAGTATGGTCTTTGGGCCCAAAAGCCTTAACTATATGAGTCCTTAGATCCCTAAACCTATAGATCCCTTTAAAGGACCTCTTATAGATCCCTTTAAAGGAACCCTATATGCGTCCTTAGATCCCTAGGGTACCTCCCGAACAGCCCGGGAGGCCCTGTAGCAACGAAGTGCATTGCAGGTCACGCCTGGCGAAAGGCGGTGGTGCTGCTGGAGGACGCGGTTTAGGGTTTAGGGGTTTAGGGTTTAGGGGTTTAGGGTTTAGGGATGAGATTCTGACTGGGAATTCATCTGGGTAGTTGTGAAAATTAAGGTGGTGTGCCCTAAATGGCTCCTCTAAGGGTTCTATAGGGTTTCGGACTGGGAATTCATCTGAGTAGTTGTCAAAATTCGGGTCCCTCTTTGGATCCCTACTTTTAATACGGCACCTATTATTTACGGTACCCCAAAAGGGGCCATAATTTTATGGCCCCTTTTGGGGTACCGTAAATAATAGGTGCCGTCTTATAATAGGGATCCAAAAAGGGACCATAATTTTGACAACTACCCACATTATATGCTTTAGGGGCTCCGTTCGGGGTTCAAGGGTTTCAGGTTCGGACTGAATTTACATCCGGGTTCCTGTTCAGGGTTCCTTTTAGGGCTTCCTTTTAACGGCTCCCTTAAGGGATCCTTTCCAGCGTTCCTTTATGGGTTCTATAGGGTCTACAGGGTTTAGGGTATATAACGCTTCAAAGGTAGTACAATTATGGAGTTCGGGCCTCAAAGCCGTAGTAAGAATGATCTCTTGAGACCTAGTTCCAAACAGTAGTATTTACATGCAGCCTCTAGGTATGTGACTCCACATAGCCCAATGTAGGTAGGGTTTGGCTTGGTAGGACCTTGGCCCGCGTAAAGCAAGTAGCAGGGATCCCAGTGCCGCAGTCCCCACACCACCCTAACGTATTACCGACCAAGGAATCGAAAAACCTGCCGACTTAAGGGTGCTATTGTTTCATTGCTTGGAGGGGTAGGGGACTTAGTAAGTAGGTCATAAGTAGAGTTGTAAGTACCCTACAGTAAACCTCATAAAGTTGGAAACCGGGTTAAGGGCAATAGTGCTGGGATTCCCCATACATCACTCTTACGGATTGAGGCTGCTGGGTTTCTAACTTTTTGGCTTCTCCTGTAAATGGAGTTACCCCCGATTATAGCCCTACTTATAACCAACTTACAAAGTCCCAAGTAAGGGGTCATAACCTACTATTTTGAAGGGTTTGGGACCAGAAACCCCAAAGCCTCAAAACCTCAAGGCCAGCAAGCAGACAACCGTGAAACGGAGTCTATTTCCCGAAACTCGCATATGATGAAAGCTTATGAAGCTAGAAACCTACAGAGCCCCTAATAAACCCTAAGCCCCTAAAGCCGGCTGATGAAAAAGATCCTGCATGGACTTAAGGACCCTAAACTATGGGAATTATGGTATAATCCTTATTATGGGTCATGCAGGATTTATATCATCAACCGTCGGACGTTCATGTTGAGACCCCGTATGAGTTTCCGACACCCGCCCAAGGAGATACCAGGACCGAACCCTCCCAGACCTCCCAAAACCCCTTAATTAAGGAATATACCTTAAATTATAGTAGGACCCTTAATATGATTTAAGGTATATTCCTTAATTTTCAGGGATTTTGGAAGGTCTGGGCTAAACCCTAAGCCCTAAACCCGAACACTTAGGCTAAACCCTGCAGAAGGAAATGGACCGGCGGAGTGCGAAGCCGGATATTGTTAGCTACAGCACCGCCGTGGTGGCTTGTGAGAAGGCCGCGATGTTCCCGGGCTGTATGTTTGCGTTTTAGGTGTTAATAAGTATCATTTGGGATTTTACGGTTGCGGTTCCAGTGCTACGGGGCTTAAAGGTTTTGCGTTTACGGCAATAGTTCTAGTTCTTGTGTTTGCGAAGCTAGATGTAAGCTTGTAGAGTTAATACAAATTTCAGCACTTTGGGTGTAATTGACGCACCATGCACAATCTTTCTATAGCACAGGGTTTCGGGAACAAGACGAAGAAGACGTCAGGCCTACACAGCAAGGCCCTTCTCTGGGCACACCCTAAGGCTCCAGTTACCTAAATAGTAGGTTACTGGGGGTATAAAGTATATGGTTAGTAACCTACTATTTAACCCTAAACCCTTAACCCTAAACCCTAAACCCTAAACCGGAGCCCTAGGGACAGACATCGAGACGGGGAGACTCTGGTCTCCTTCGCTGAAAACCTGAAGTCTCTGGAGAGTCCGATGTCCAGCTTTTTGCAGCTTCCTCTGGCTTTCATTTTTTTTGGAGGCACGTTTGCTTCTTCCAGCTTTATGCATCTTTTTGCTAGCTGTTCCTAAGTGTTGTGTTGCCTTTGTCTCGCGTTTCACAGGCAAACTGGAAGTTAAGATCGGTCGGCCCCCAGAGAGCCAATGACGAAGGTGGAGACAGTGCATCGTTCTGTGGACAGTGAAGAGTGAAGGTTGTGAAGCCAATTGTTTTATGCAGTTCTTAAGTTATAACTAACTTGTCATAGTTTTACATAGCTTCTCCTGGCGGTTCATCACTTTCCTTAGTTGCCCGCAACTTCCAGATGCTTCTGGATCTTTCCGAAGCTGGCAAGGAGCAACCTCGTACCCCCAAAAGGGGATCCTAAACCCAATTACACCCCAAAACCTGAACCCCTAAGCCCTAAACCATTGAAAGGAGCCCCAACTTAGAGGATCATGGGACTTAGTAAGTAAGGTTAGAAGTGCCCTAATTCGGGTTATAAGTCATTATAAGTATAGTTACCTTATGTATAACCCCAGTTCCGAAGTCCCATGATCCTTTAAGTAAACCATTGAAAGGAGCCCCTAACACCGAAGCTTAAACCCCAAACCCTAAACCCCCAAACCCCTAAACCCCCATAGATCCCTCAAAGGAGCCCCTTAAAGGGGAGCCCCTAAACCCCCATAGATCCCTTAAAGGAGCCCCCAAAAGGGGAGCCCCGAACTTCGGAGGCTTCGGAGTGGGCTGCAGCGCTCTCGCTCTTCAGCTCTCTGCGCAAAGCGTCGGTGCAGGTCAGCCAGAACCGACTGGGCTTTTGGGTTTCGGGGTTTAGGTTTGGGGTTTAGGGTTTGCGGTACAGGGTTCTGGTGGCTGGAGGTGAGTGACCCTAAGGGTCCATGTACCCAAAAAGGATATACTTTGGGCCCAATGGACCTATATACGGAGTACTTTAAGGCCAATGTATATACTATATGAGTACATGGACCCTTAGGGGAAGTGACTGGTTTCAGGGGTTATAGGGCTGATGATATAAATCCTATAGCGGTACCTAAAAGAAGTTCCTTTAAGGGATCTATAGGATTTTAGGAACTTACCAAGCTCAAATATGAACGTATACCCATGGGCCGCATGACCTCCAAAGTGAGAACCTACGTGGAGGTAGACTCACTGGTATCCGTGTTGGCGTCCCATGTATGCCAACAAGCGATGCCTCTGCTGATGAACTCCCTCGAACACGTGGGCAGCGTCTGGGGGTTCCACCATAGCTGGACAAAAGACAACACGCAAATCCTCTATGAAGCGCTGCACGGAGGTCTGGCTGAGGCGGGCCAGCGAGATTTCCTGTATATCACAGGTGACAACATGGTCCTCGCAGCGAACAGAAAAGGACACCTCGGAGATGAAGATGTGGAAGCAACCGGGACGTGGAGAGTCTTGGAGCCCGATATCACCACTTCGGATTGCAAGATTGGCGCTTCAGGAGGTCCGATCTTTGCAGAGTACATGACCCGACTCTTGTCAGGACATTCCTTCCTGCAGAAGGTGTCGAGTCTTAAGACAAAGTCTGCAAAAGGAAACTTGAAGCGCGTCAAAGAGCTAGTTTCCAAGTTGGTGGATCTACTCTTCTATGCCTCGACCGTGGATCCCACGGGAACGACCCGGATGAATTCACACTTCTTGTCTTCGGGAGTGAGCTTCCATTCCTTGGCAACGAGTCTCTACTGGGGTTCCGTGCTCCTTTATGCCAGGTCTCGCACTGAAGACAAGGTTTAGGGTTTAGGGTTCAATTTTAAGGTTTAGATTGAGGGGTTATACGGCTGATGATCAGGTTCCCTAGGGGTACCCTTTAAAGGGAGATCTATGAGGGTACCTTTAAGGGGTTACTTTTAAGGGATCTATAGGGGGTTTAGGGTTTAGGGTTGATGATATGAATCCTGCATTAAACTACGTCCAGAGCGAGGAATATACCATACTTCCCATGGTTTATTGGATCATTAAGGTAATGCAGGATGCGTATCATCGACCGTACCTTATATGGAGGGGGTCATAAGTCACGAGTCGTAAGCTACATTTTCGTTTTCATTTTCAAGTCGGGTCGAGTCTCTAAGGTGTGTCAGCTTTGGGCGATGATGTCTGGGCTTTGCTAATCAGGAATGGCGCTTGTGGGATGGTATGTTATTAAATTCAATAGCTGAGTAGGCAACCTTTAACCTTTTGGGGCTTATGTACTCCTGCTACAATTTAGCAGGTTACCTTTTTCTGCTGAGGGTACTCACACCCTAAGTATATTATGCACACTCTTGGAAGGGGTTTGTTACTCCGCACCAAGAAGTCTTTAGGCTCGGCGCTCGAAGAGAGGAAAGCTGGGGATCTGGGTAGGGTTTAGGGCTGCAGGCTTTACAGGGACTTGCGCAGTCTTAAACCCTAAACCCTAAACCCTAAACCCTAAACCCTAAACCCTAAACCTCTAGATGTGCTGCAGGTCAGTGGACTTCTAGCGATGTCTCCTCCCTCCTCCCCAGGGTTTCGGGTTGTGAGACCGGCCCTTAACTTTAAGGCTCTTGGAGACTTTGTTACTTTGTTCCTTTTTTGGTTCCGGTCTTTTTTTATAGGGGTCTCCAAAAAAGTAGTTTTTTGCTTACCTTCCAAGGGGAGTAGAGTTAAAGTCCTTCATTCCACGAAGACCCCTTGACCCCCCCAAGACCACCCAAAGCAAGCACTCAACCCACGACCCAAAACTCCAAGCCCACAACCAAGACCTTGAACCCTGATCTATAAGCTTTAAAGCCTCAACCTATCGACCCTAAACCGTATATAGCCCAAAGGCCCCATGTACCCATATAGTAGGTACTGAGGCCTTAAAGTACCCATATAGGGACCCCTTTAAGGCCTAAGTACCTACTAAATGGGTACATGGATCCTTAGGGTAGAGTCCTATGCAGTAATCCCTTTGAGGAACCCGGAACCCTAATCCCCTAAATCTTGAACCCTAAACCCCAAGACCCTAGACCCTCAACCCTTAAACCCTAAAGAAACCCTAAACCCTAAACCCTAAAGAAACCTTGAACTCTAAACCCTAAAGAAACCCTAAACCATAAAGCCTACTTTTCCCCAAATAACCTACCTTTTTAAGGATTCATACAAAGAAATCAGAATAAGGAACCCTAAAAGCCACCGACGGTCGACCCGCGAGGTCGACGCCTTCGGCGTGTCGGCCGCGCTCTCCGCCTGTGGAAAGGGCGGCCTCTGGGTGCATCGGTGAAAATAATCGGATTTGGGGGTTCCTTTAAAGGGAGACATAAGGGTTCCTTTGAAGTAGGGTTTAGGGTTTAGGGTTAGGGTTTATAGGGTTTAGGGTTAAAGGGAGATATGAGGGTTCCTTTCAAGGGTTCCTTTAAAGGGATCTATAAAGGGGTTCCTTTAAAGGGAGATATAAGGGTTCCTTTACGTGAGGGTTCCTTTAAAGGGACCCACAAGGGTTCCTTTAAAGGGATCCATACGGGTTCCTTTGAAGTGGTCTATAAGGGTTCTATAAGTTCTATATTAGAAGGTAGTTGGGGGGTAATCGGGCTTGGGGGTTAGGACTTGGAGATATAGGGTTTCGGGGGGTGTTTGAGTGTTTAGGGTTTGCGGGTTTCAGGGTTTAGGGTTTAGGGTTTACGGATTTCGGGTTTGGGGGTTGGTTGAGTGTTTCAGGTTTGGAGGTTTCAGGGTTTGGGGTTTAGGGATTTGGGGGTTTGTGGGTGTTTCTTTTAGGGTTTGGGGATTTCGGGTTTGGTGGTCGAGTGTTTCGGGTTCGGGGGGTTTCAGGGTTTAGGTTTTGGGGTTTAGGGATTTAGGGTTTGGGGGTTTAGGATTTGGGGATTTCGGGTTTGGTGGTCGAGTGTTTAGGGTTTGGGGGTTTCAGAGTTTAGGGTTTGGGGGTTTAGGAGTTTCGGGATCGGGGTTGCGGGTTTAAAGGTTTGGGGGTTCAAGGTTTAGGGTTTGGGGGTTACAGGGTTTAGGCAAAAACCAGATGACGTACAGCTCACTGGAACCGTAGACTTGCGCAATCCAGAAGAGGAGGATTTCGCGAATCGCGCGGCCTTGCCTTTGTCCTCGCTTCCAGAAGAGGCTGCGCACGCCATAATGCAGGAACCTGATTAAGAACCTTGGGTCTTGATTAGGGTTCTATAAGGGTTCCTTCAAAGGGTACTATAAGGGTTTGGGGGGATGATGTAGGAACCTGATGAAGTGGCGAAACCCCGAACCCTCAACCCGAAACCATAAACCCATACCTCTAAACCCCAAACCCTCAACCCCAAATGTCACTGAACCCGAAACCCTGAGCCCTAAGCTTTTATAGATCCCTTTAAAGGAACCCTAAACCCTAAACCCTGAGCCCTAAGCCTTTATAGATCCCTTTAAAGGAACCCTAAACCCTAAACCCTGAGCCCTAAGCCTTTATAGATCCCTTTAAAGGAACCCTAAACCCTAAACCCTGAGCCCTAAGCCTTTATAGATCCCTTTAAAGGAACCCTAAACCCTAAACCCTGAGCCCTAAGCCTTTATAGATCCCTTTAAAGGAACCCTAAACCCTAAACCCTGAGCCCTAAGCCTTTATAGATCCCTTTAAAGGAACCCTAAACCCTAAACCCTGAGCCCTAAGCCTTTATAGATCCCTTTAAAGGAACCCTAAACCCTAAACCCTGAGCCCTAAGCCTTTATAGATCCCTTTAAAGGAACCCTAAACCCTAAACCCTGAGCCCTAAGCCTTTATAGATCCCTTTAAAGGAACCCTAAACCCTAAACCCTGAGCCCTAAGCCTTTATAGATCCCTTTAAAGGAACCCTAAACCCTAAACCCTGAGCCCTAAGCCTTTATAGATCCCTTTAAAGGAACCCTAAACCCTAAACCCTGAGCCCTCGACCCCAAAGGCCTTGGCACTGGACATGCTCGCCGAGATGTCAGACAAGTGACTTTGATCAGCAAACAGCAACGAATTACCTTTGGTCTCCAGTGTAGTTCCTTTTTTTGGTTGTTCAGCTTGATGGTTAGGATCCTATAATGGAGATCTTGGTTAGCAAGAAAAAGGAATTACGATGGCGACTATAGGTATGTATCGATTTGGAATTTGTTTCTTTAACTTCGCTTATTGTCTAATGCAGAGCCCTAATTGTAAGTAATGTTGTAAAGACGCACTTCAGGGTTTTACTTGTAGGGCTGTGTAAGGCTTTAAAACGTTGTTTGGAGATTGTTAAGGGTAGGATTCCCAGAGAATCAACGCAGCTGTAGCAGTGGCTGGATACTGCCTGCTTGAGGCTAAATCTGTAGACTCCAACCCCTAAATTCGAAAGCCCTAAACGCTAAACCCTTGCAGAAACCCTTCCCGGGAACTGCTTATAACCTTGAAATTGAGAGGAACCCTTATGTAGGGAAACCTTAAAGGAACACTTACACCCCGGAACCCTAAACCGCGCGGCATCACGAGTCCTTGAAGTCTCATTGCAAACCCCTGGATACCAGCCCATCCATGTACCTTTATAAACTCGCAAACGAGCCCTTGAAGGATACCCAAACAGGTATCCTTTAAGGGTTCCTTTAGTGGTTGCTTGAAGGGTCTACTATAAGGGTTATAGGTAGGGTTTAGGTTTAAGGCTCCATGTACAATTAAAGTAAGTACTTAGGCCTTAAAGGGGTCCCCATATAAGTGCTTTAAAGCCTAAGTATGTACTATGTGGGTACATGGAGCCTTAGCGCAAGACATCCTCTCCTTCAGGGCCTTCATATTGGTATCCCTATGATCGGCTCTTTCATGGTAGTGCGGGGGGATCAGGGTAGGGATTTAAACCTTAAAGCCTAAACCCTAAAGCCCCAGACCCGAGGGATCAAAATAGCCCAAAAGCCTTCTATAGTATGGTCTTTGGGCCCAAAAGCCAAGGGCCTTAATGTATGAGTCCTTAGATCCTAGGGACAGCCCTAAACCCCAAAGCCCTAAAACGCTCCAAAAAGCCACAGCCTTAATAGCCCCAAAACCTTTACATCCTAAACCCCAAAAGCCCTAAACCCCAAACCCCTAAAACGCCCAAAAAGCCTCAGCCCTAAACGCCCAAAAGCATCTCCAGGTCTGTGAAATCGGACGTCTTCTGCCTCAAAACCCTAGAGACCTTAAACCCCAAACCCTATAACAGGGTTTAGGGTTTAAGGGTTTAGGTTAAGTACTGCCCCCACTCAGTACCAGTTGGATACTCTTCATAATATAGATACATTAGATCCTTAATAGTAGCCTGATTTTTGACTGTTACTGTATGGGGGCAGTACCCAAGGTTTAGGGTTTAGGGAAAGCCTCAAAAGCCTTGAGCATTCAAAAACCCTGAACTCTCGCAAGGTCTGTGACACCGGACCTCTTCTGCCTGAATGGCGCCCTGTCTGCCCTTGGGCGCGCCCAACTCTGGGAGGAGGCCTCGAAGGGGGGTGGCATCCTTAAAAGGTCCTTCTGAAGAATCTATATGGGAGTTTCCGAAACTTAGGGTAATTAGGGGTACCCTAGGGTTCCTTTAAAGGGCTCTATAAGGGTACTAGAAGGGTTCTATAAAGGGTTTAGGTTTTAGGGTTTCCGAAAACTAGGGATACCTTATTTTGGGGCCCTTATGAGAAGGATCCTACTATTTTGGGTACCATATAAGTAAGGGTCCCCTGTTTTCGGAAACTCCTATATGGTTCCAAGAAACGGTTCCTTAAAGGACTCCTAAAAGGAATGTACAGGGGTTCCTTAAAAAGGGATCTTTGTGAAGGATCTGTAAGATTAGTTTTGTAAACTGGGGTGCCTTTGGGGTCCTTTTACAAGGGTGCCGTGCTATTTTGGGGATTTAGAAATTGGCCCTAGTTTAGAGAAGTACCCACTGTCAAGGGCTCCTTAAGGAATCTATAGGGTTTACGGAGGATCATGTGATTTAGTAAGTAAAGATAGGAATACCTTAATTTTAGGGTTTAGGGTTATAAAGGGTCTCGGGCAGGGTTAGCTGCTCCGAAACCGTTTAGCCAAAACTCCCTGCCGTTGCTCATGCACGCAATCTTTGTCTTTTGCAGGCTTTTTTGATGGTTTGCAGTGTTTTGGATTGAGAACTCCCCATGCGAACTCGATCCGCATCCCTAAACCCTAAACCCTAAACCTGGTCAGACACTGCAGCATCTGCAGATGCTGCAGAGCGCCGAAGGAGTTGCACCGGATGCGGTGAGTTGCTTGGCTTGATAATATCTGGGTAGTTGTCGAAAATAGGGTCCTCTTTTGGGTACCCTAAATATTAGGTGCCGTACTGGTACTATAGTAAGGACCCCAAAAAGAGACCATAACTTTGAGAACCGCCCATCTGTATTTTTCACAGACGGCACTTCAAAGCCCAAGACCTCAGTGAAGCCCCGAAGCCTAAAGCTCTAAACCCGGGACTGTCGGGTGTGTTTGTTTCACGCGTGCGCCCACGCTTGGCCAAGTTTTTTTCGGGCGGTCGGGACAGGTGGTTTGTGACATGTACGGAGATCCTAAAATTTGTTTGTGTGCGGTGTTGCAAGGGTTGTTCGGCGGCAAAAGCATCTACATAGGGTTGTGTAAGAGTTTTTGAAAGAAACCCTAAACCCTAAACCCTTGAGGTTTTGCTGGAGCAACCAAGGCACAAAACAAATATCATGGTATACGTATCGCCTCAGAATTGTCAGCTCTTCCCTTCGAGATACAGCGGTGACTACAGGTAGGGTTTAGGGTTTATAGGGTTTAGGGTTTAGGGGTAGCATGTTTTAATTACCCTGGAGATCAAAATAGCCGAAAAGCCTTATATAGTATGGTCTTTGGTCTCAAAAGCTTTAGAATATATGAGTCCTTGGATCCCTAGGGTTAGTTGTGCGGCCAGAATGCCAGGATGCCGGATCAGAACATTGGAGAATGTGAGCAGGTTCTGAAGCTTTCTCAAAAGATGTCTTTACCGGGATTTGTAAGGGGCTTTTTCAAAGGATCCATACAAGTGTGATATGCGTGTTGAAACGAGGTTTACAGGGTTTCGTGAAGCATTCTATAGTAAAACTCAGGCTACATGATTACAAGACGTCGGTACAACAAGGATCCTACTGTTTAGACTCTATCTTAGTGACTGTTCTGACCTTTGCTTTCCGAACGCCAGCAGAATCGAAAGAGCATTCGAACGTGCTTGTGGGGTGGGGTTTCTCCATATAATGCCTTTGTAATAATAGCCTTGCGATTTATTCCAGAACCCTTCTCTCACTAGTTCTGTTTGAACGCCTTTAATGCCCCATCATGCCCTACGCGCAACCTACTGTATCTGAAAGCCTGAATGCAAACCTTTAAAACTCAAAGACGCCCTACTCCAGTTCGCTTGGGCCCGGTATTACTTGACACGTTCTGTCGCCGCAAATCCTAGGACTCGATATCATGCGAGTTAGCAGGACTATAAATCCTGCCTGCTTACAGCTCTTGGTTAGGGCTTCCTTATGCGAATCGCTAAGCAAGGCTCTTCATTGGTGAGTTCATATAAGGCTCCTGTTGCTCAATGGTGAGTCTAGGTTTTTAGATCTTATGTTTGGACGACTAGGAATACAAGCCCTACTTCATGTGCGGTCGAGGCTACAACACCGCGATATCGGCGAGTGCAGAGACACGGCTTTGCTGAAGGGCGCAAGGGTTGCATTTCTGCTGCTGGTACACTGGAGGCCCGACGCTGAGGGTGAACGGTACCCCAAAATCATATACCTCCTCAAAGGCTAATCTGCAACAAAACAAATATGAGGCCCATTGCAAAATGAAATGCCAGACAAACCCTGTAAACAACCTTGGTTGTACCCTGGGTGGCAGTGGAACCCTTACATTAGAATGTTTAGAGCAGCTAGTTATATTGGGTCTTTTGAACCTTTGGACCTATGTCCTATAACGTGTTCGGGCCTTGGCAACTTGACTTGAGGAAGCACACAAAGACAAAGAGACAAAACTTCAATTATAAACCCTAAAACCCTTAAAGCCAAACCCTATTCCTCCATACTCTTCACCCTAAAGCCAATAATTACACTCAGCCCCAAACCCTCAGCCCCAAAGCATATTTGGGAGTTTCCGCAAATAGGGGACCCTAATATAGCACCCCAAATAATAGGATCCTTATTATAGGGACCCCAAAACAAGGCACCCCTAATTTTCGGAAACCCCCATATTTCTGGCTAAGGAGAGCAGTCGCTGGCCAATTGCCCTCTCCCTCTTCCAGGAGATGCAAGAGAGAGTCGTGACTGCAAGGCTAGGACCTAAACCCTAAACCCTAAACCCTAAACCCTAAACCCCTAGAGTAGGCCCTTATGCCCTTTTTCTAGGATTCAGGCCAGAATCTCCAGAAGGTCTCTTCCGGGTCTCAGAAGTCCTACAGTTGATGAGATAATTCCTGGGTTCCTTTTAAGGGGGATTTATGGGGGTACCTTTAAGGGGTTCCTGGAAGGGATCTAGAGGTTTGTGGGGTTTAGGGATATAAATCCTGCAGTACCCGTAGTAAGGAATATACCATAATTTCCTCAGTTTACGGTCCTTAATAGATAATGCAGAGTTTTTATCATCAACCCTGTAAACCCTAAACCCTGATAGATCCCTTCAAGAAACCCCCTAAAGCTACCCTTCTAGATCCCTTTAAAGGAGCCCTAGGATTCTTATCATCAGCCGTAGTCTTGAAGATCCGCAGTCCGCACAGTATCAGAACACTTACAGTATATAATATATGCAGGGGCCTTTTAATAACTAGAACAGGGTTTGGGGGGCCCATGATGCCCTTATTATATTAGGGTAACCCCAAAATAGCATAGATGATTATATTAAGGCGCTATAGTAGGGTGTAGTCTTTCGGGGGTTCCGTTGAGCAAGCAGGAATGGTTCGGACGTCCGTCGGAGGTTCGCTTTATAGAATGAGTATGGGAGTCTTATAGTTAATCTAGAGCAGAGGGTTCTAGAGTTCTGGGGACTCTTATAGTTACATTATGGGGACCAGAAGTGGGTACTACTGCTGATGGACAAAATCCTGCATTACCCATTATAAGGAATATACTATAGTTCCCATAGTTTAGAGTCCTTAGGGTCATGCAGGATTTTGTCCATCAACAGTATTGATAATCAGTCCGGCGTCCACACTGTAGGTTTAGGGCATTGTAGGCGGCGCTGGAGCAGGCTTTACGGCTAGGATTGAAGGTTTACGGTTCAGGAGTTTTGGGGGTTTAGGGGCTTCGGGATATAGTGAGGGTTGAGGGTTTAGGCAGGGGTTCAGGCTTTCGGGCTTTTCAAGTGCTTAAAGGCTGATGTCTCAAAGGGAGTTTCAGGGTTTTTTGGTTTTGGTCATTATGTCTCGGAGGAATTCTGAGGGTTTGTGGCTTTTGGTGCTTAGGCTTCAGGGCTTATGAACCTCGACCGCCCCAAGTTTGTCCTGCACTCTAGTTCTTGTACCCGAGTCGAAGCACGACGCCAGAAAGCATAGCTGGGTGGTTGTCAAAATTGGGGTCCCTATTTGGGTCCTTATTAAAATACGGCACCTACTATTTAGGGTACCCAAAAAGGGACCATAATTTTGACAACCACCTAACTCTTTCCCGAGGGCTGCCACCGACCTCCTCGACCCGCAATTCGAACGGTCGACATCCTGCCAGATAAGTGGGCGGTTGTCAAAATTGGGGTCCCTTTTGGGGTACCCTGAATAATAGGTGCCGTACTATATTAGGGACCCCAAAAGGGACCATAATTTTGACAACCACCCATGTGTCGTGTTACGACGGTCTGACATCTGAATAATCAGCGCCTGATTTGTATACCAGTGTAGAAGCCACCAAAACTCTAGGTTGATTCTTCGGTCAAGACTTAGATTGCCTTCCAGGTTTTTGCTGAGCAAAACTTTTCGACTCCTTAGAAAGAACGCTTGCGGAACCTGTCAGCAGTTCGGGGTCACCACTTCGGTCAGTCACACTTAACGACCGCAGTACATATCAGTCCTGTTTGCAGACCCAAGACTTCAACAACGATGGCAACACAACCCCGATGCCCAGCGTCTTCACGGCTGCAAGGGGACGTCGTTCCCACCACGATTAGCTTCAATGCGGCCGCTGTGATGAGAGATGGCTTGGTTTCGGTTAATGGTTGGTGGTGCATTTCCTCGCAACGTAACTGTTTTTGTACAGGTTTCAGGTCTTCGCTTGGCTTAACAGAGCTAGTATGGAGCAGAGTTTCAGGAGATAGGAGCCCGTTTTCTACTTCTGGGCTGGTGTGGATGCGATGAGTTTGGGGACTTCAACCCGACAAATCATGTTGGGCCCAAGGCTTCTTGACATCTGGACATAAATCTTTGTCAGAGTTGGGTAACATCTCATGTGCTGATGGCTACTTAAACCCAATAAACAAAAGAAGTGTGTAGTTTTGGTATTATCCCAGGCCCTTCAGTGGTACACGTTTTTTACTTTCAGGTTCCTGGGTTCCTATTATGAAATAGGAGGCCTAAAAACGGATATACTTTTTCCCAGTTGGTTACTCAACAGCCTAGTATCCCAATGAACTAGAATCAGCTCCGGGGTAGAAAGGCAGATTTCATGTTCCTGTGATCCTATTTACGCCTTACCTATATCAAAGGGGAAAAGGAGGGACCCTTAATGGGGACCCCTACCCTATAATGGGCTGTATAATGGGTATATAATGGCTATATTAAGGGTATATAATCTAGGGGTCCGTATTAAGGGTCCCTCCTTTTACCCTTGGACTATACTTTCCATACCTTTGTTGGTTATCCAACTTCATGGTGAAGATCCTATAATAGAGGTTTTGGTTAACCAAAAAAAAAAAGGAACTACAATGGAGACTATAGGTAGGGGTTTGTAGCCTTGCCGTTGTCTTAGGGGTTTAGGATTTAGATTAATTTGGGGCTTAGGGTCTAGAGTCTTGTTGTTTTCCTCATGCGCTACGTTGGCACATTTGCGGGGTTTTGCACGTCGTAAAGCATCATGCCTTAGACCCGTCTACACTTATTGCCAAACTCCTGAGACTCTTAAACTCAAATCTAAGACACCGAAAACCTGCACCCTGAACCTTAACCCACGTCGCAGGTGATTTCTGCCCTCTTGGTCCTCCAACCCCAATCCCTCAACCCTATAAGCCCTATTCCTATTTACCCCACACCATTAACCCAGGTGGCAATCCAGGCCCCCCTTTGGGGCTTTAAAGATGTCTGTTGCGGACCGGAAAAGGGTCTTTAAAAGGAACAAAAAACAACCTAAACCCGAGACCGCCTGAATCCCAACACCTGAACACTAAACCCTGCACCCCGAAAGACTAAACCACCTAAGACCCAAACTCTCTACATCTCTGAGGTGATTTCTGCCCTCATGGCAGACACGCAGGATCAAGCTGCTGCGGTGGAAGCCGTGTTTGTCGCCTCCCCAGAGAGTTGAAGGTTTAAGGGTTCCTTGAAGGAGTCCTAGCCTATAGAAATACTTTAAGGGCTCCTTGAAGGGTTCCTTGAAGGGTTTCGGGTTCCTTGAAGGGCTCCTTTGAGGGCTGCTTTTTGTGGTTTCTTCTAAGGGTTCCTTTAGGTTAGCCGCCACGGCGTACCAGTCTCTCAGGTTAAGGGTTCGTGGGAGGGATCTATAGGAGTCCTTTAAGGGCTCCTTGTTGGGATCTATAGGGTTTCCTTCAAAAGCTTCCTTTAAGGGAATTACAGGGCCACCTTGAAGTGTTCCTGTAAAGTGTTACTACAAGATTTCTCGAGGGTCAAATACAGTGGTCTTGTTTTTTCTATTTTTGTTTCCCGTTTTGGTGGTTTCGAACTGTTGCAGCAGGCATCCTCAAGCAATTTAGAATTCTACCTTAACCTACCAAACACTACCTTTTGAAGGCTCTTCTTATATACCCTATTACGGATTTTATAGGGACCCTAGTTTTTAGTAGGTTTGGGTAGGTTAAGGTAGTGTGGTTGGCAAAACAACCCCTATACTTCAGACAGCCACGGATCACAAAGTTAGCTATCCCGAAGGGCTAGTCAAAAGGCCACATGGGTGGTTGTCAAAATTATGGTCCCTTTTTGCGTACCCTAAACATTAGGTGCCGTATTCTAAAAAGGTCCCAAAAAGAGACCCTAATTTTGACAACTGCCCACATAGAGACATACGAGCATCGTGTAGGCAGCTGATTACGAAGCTACGATGCCTGCTTCCCCTCACCCGTAGCACCTGAACCCTAAACCCAAAACCCTAAACCCAAAACCCTAAACCCAAAACCCTAAGCCCAAAACCCTAAACCCTAAACCCTAAATCCAAAACCCTAAACCCTAAACCCTAAACCCTAAACCCTAAACCCCAAACCCTAAACCCTAAACCCTAAACCCAAAACCCAAAACCCTAAACCCTAAACCCTAAACCCTAAACCCAAAACCCAAAACCCTAAACCCTAAACCCTAAACCCAAAACCCTAAACCCAAAACCCTAAACCCTAAAACCCTAAACCCAAAACCCTAAACCCTAAAACCCTAAACCCTAAACCCCAAAACCCTAAAGATGATCCGTCAGACCTCAACCCACGAGTTCCTCCCTGATTTTGCTTGCTTCGACCTCTTACATCTTGCCGGAAAATCCCCATTCCTAAATCCCTTAGTAGCTGAGTGGATGCACTTTACACTTCTTGGGACAATAGTACCCGCGTCAAAGCTAAAAGTGTACATTTTTGGGGGATTAGGAACTCAACAACTAAGAATCTGTTCAGGGTTTAGATTTTTCTCTCTTCATCCTTAACCCTAAGCCCCGTTTTGCTGCTACCGGCTCCGCACAAACATAGGTGGTTGTCAATATTACGGTCCCTTTTCGAGTCCTTACTATAGTACGGCACCTAGTATTTAGGGTACCCCAAAAGGGACCATAATTTTGACAACCACCCATGTACCCATGAGGTAGGTACCTAATAAAGCCTTAAAGTACCCATATAGGGACCCCTTTAAGGCCTAAGTGCTATTATACCATAGTTTTGACAACCACCCACATCTTCTCTGCTTTGTTTCGGCTCGATGGCCTTTGGCTGCAGGGGAGAGCCACAGTCCCCTCAATCAGGGATTCAGGGATTACTTAAAGCATCATGGGACTTAGTAATAGGGTTATAAATGAGGTAACTATACTTGTAATTATCTATAACCCCAATTAGGGTACGCATAGCCTTCCTTACTAAGTTTCCTGATCCTCCAAGTAGTTTTTTTGGGGGGGGGGCTTAGGGTTTAGGGTTCAGGGTTTCGGGGCTGGAATATCACGTAGCCAGGAATACTTGGCTGTTGCAAGGACTGCAGGCCCCGACGGTTGTTGTTTTCTGAACTTCGGGGAGCCTCGCTTTTAGTTTGGGGTTTAGGATTTAGGGCTTACCTAGAGGCTCCATAGTAGTTCTTGTTGGGGATTATATTTAGAATCCTATAAGCTAGTCCCAAAAAGGAACTACTATGGAGCCTATGGGCAGGGGGTTCAGTGCCGCATGCTATCCTGCAGCGATGTAATGTAGAGGGATCGTATTCCTACATGCAGGGCTTTAGGGTTTACTTGGAGGGGCAAGGGACTTAGTAAGTAGGTTATAAATAGGGTTGTAATTGGGGTAACTCCATTTAGGGTACTTATAACTCTACTTAAAACCTACTTACTAAGTCTCTTGCCCCTCCAAGTAGGGTTATATCACATGACACATGCGGTGACCTTGTGGTATCCTGTTAAAGGAACCCTGCATTATCAGGGTGTAGGGCTCAGGGTTCAGGGTAGTCTTAGAGACTAAGATGATCCGAACCTAGAGAACAATTGCGATCCGGGCAGGATGGTACACCAACTGAAGCCCTAAACCTACTTAGATCCCCATTACTTGCCTTTAAACTTTCGGGTTTCTTATAGCTTAGTAGGAATCGGAAAGTTTAGCCTCTTATTTCTGTGGCTTATTGGGGTACTAATTTAAACTGAGCTTTGGATCTCTCTCTCTCTCTCTCTCTATATATGTTTCCGGAAATTAGGGGTACCTTATTTTGGGCTCCTTCTAAGAAGGATCCTACTATTTAAGGTCCATCTTAGGGTCCCCTATTTTCGGAAACTCACATATATATATATATATATATACATATAGCAATTTTCACAACACAAATGAGGCTTTGAGGGTCATCGGCTTAGGATTGACGCCTATTGGAGCCCGTCTCGCATGTGTGACGTGGACCTTGAGCCACCCTCGAGGGAGCTGTTGGCGCTAAACCGCCGAATTGCTGCTTTCAAGGAGCAGTGATTTCACTGATGGTGTCGGCTGTATGTCATCCGATTGATCTCATAGATGTAATAAGGATGTAGTTAGGGTTCTAGAAGAGTTCTACAAAGGATTTACAGTGCTTTCGTTCAGCGATGGTGCCGGCTGTATGTCAACCGATTGCTCTCATAGATGTTATAAGGATGTAGTTGGGTTCTAGAAGAGTTCTATAAAGGATTTACAGTGCATTTCTAGGTTTCGAAGGGCCAACACACCTAATAATTAGGTATCGGGGTTCAGGCTAACGGAGTATTTGCTAGAGTATATGACTACTCGGCACTTGAGCTCTCAGTGGCATACAAGAGGGGTCGGAATAACTGGTAACAGTATCACCTTCTAGTCCTCATATACATACATGTGTGTATATAAACATATGCATACATTTTAGGGTTTAGGGTTATATCCACAATATACACTGCATCTAGGGCTTGGGGTCAACGGTTTCCAGCGCAAGCCCTGTAAGCCGGTATTGGCAGCCTTCTAGAACCCCACGAATAACAGTCAAATGCTATGCATATAATGGAATAGCACCCGTACTAACGCCCTTATTATATACAACAAAACTGTGTTTGTTCATGTATAAATATGTATGTACGTATGTTTGTTTGTATATGTACATATGCCGCAGAACACTGAGCTGCAGGACCAGAGCCAGTGGGTTGAGGCATTGGAGCTTCTGCGAAGCAGTCGGTCGTCCCATGTCGCAAGAGGGCTCGTCGTGTTTAGGGTTTCGGGTTTGGGGCTTAGGGTTTGAGGGGTTTAGGGATTCTAGAAGGGTTCTATAGCGAGGCAAGGATTGTTGTGCGGTTTTGTACAATGTATAGAGTTCAAAAGGGTTCAGGGCACCGATTCAGAGTTTAGGGCCGTCCGCAATCTCGCACCGCGCTAGACCCTCGACCGCAAAACCCTCAACCTAAATCCCTACACCCTAAACCGTGAGCCCTAAACCCTAAATCCCTGACCCCTGAGCCCTAAGCACTCCTTGGGAGATTCGATCTAACCCTTATCGATCCCCTTCAAAGGAACCCTTATGGATCCCTTGTAAGGAACCCCTCAAACTCCTCGGAGGTTCGATCTTCGGATCAACATCGTGAGCTACTGCTCCACGGCGCTGGCATCGAAGGGCCTTCGTTTATGGCCCTTTTCCTTGAACCTGCTAGAGGAGGCTGGGCTGGGTTTGGGGGGCTTAGGCTCTAGGGTTTAGGGTTTAGGGTCCTGCGTAGGGTTTGAGGGTTTAGGCTTTCGGCGTTTAAGGTTTAATTAGTTGGGATTCAGGCGTTTCAAGGCTTCTGGAGAAGGCTAGAGGAGGCTGGGTGGGGTTTCGGGATTTGGGTCCCTAAACCCTAAGCCCCATCAATCTTAGGGCTCCTTCCGTAAACCCTGAACCCTTCCTTGACCCCAAATAACCTACCTTTTTAAGGATTTGTATAAAGAAACAATATTAGGGAACCTTTAGAAGGTAGGTAGGTTTCATGGGGTGAAGGTAAACCGTAGACCCGTTTCCAGAGCTCCCCGATCTCTCGCAGGCCAAGGACCAGATGCTGCAGCTGAACGTGGTCACTGCCAGTGTAGCTATCGGCTCTGTGGAGGCCTTTGCTTTGAGTTTAGGGTTTACTTGAAGGCTCATGGGACTTAGTAAGTAGGTTATAATTGGGGTTATATGTCCCATAACTGGGGCTATCCTAATTATAACCTACTTATAACCTTACTTACTAAGTCCCATGAGCCTTCAAGTAGGGCTTTGGGTCTAGGGGGGTTTAGCGGTATTTCGGGCTTAGAGATTCGGGGGTTTAGGGCTTGTTTCGGGGGCTTCCTTGGGTTTCCCTAAGGATCCAAGCAACGGTATAGTGTATAATTTGGGGCCAAATATACCTGCCTAAACCTGAAATAATGGCCCAAAACCCATAAAGGGCTATAAACCCTAAACCCTAAACCATCATTGGCTACTATTCTGCATACTTTTGGGGTCCAGGTACTAAGTACCTACGATCTATGGTAGTTGGATCCTTGGGTTCCGGAGTTTACCCTAAGGCTCCAAAAGGGGTCAAGGGTTCCTTTAAAGGGATCTATAGGGGCTTAGGGTTTTTATATAGGGTTTAGAGTATATATGGGGTTTAGGGGT